CCTAACGTGTCAGAATATTAGGGCTGGACATTATTTTGTGGGAATATTTAGACTGATGGTCTAAACACCTTAGAAGTACAGTTTAGCCGTAAAAGGGGTGTAAAGGAAACATGATTGCCTATTTATATAATTGATTATTATTCATGCTATTACGATATAATCCAAACTTTATACAATATTTAGAAAATATAAAAAAAAATTTTAATTATACAGTAACATCGCCTATGAGATTTGAGTAAAACAAGTGTCAATTTTATGTGGCTAAAGAATCGCGTTCAGTTTTAATAATTATTTTGCTGACGGCTTTTGCGTTGTATTTTTTTTCATATAAGATTTCAAGCAAACGTCAAGCTGTGAGGTTGTACTTTATTGTGTTCTGATTTTGGCTTTCTACTTACTAAGTTCATTGTGCTAATTCTGTGTTAAAGTAGTGATAAAAAGTGCTTATGAGCATCAGAGTGTGAAATAATTGAAGCTAAGTGAAAGTTATTGGTTTTATATTAAAGTAAATTTAATTAAATTTCACTAGCATACATTCTAATTTTGCCGAGTCATTTGTTGCTATCATTGTTGTTGTATCCTTTGTAGTTAATTTAATTCATTTTGTTTTTGCATGTTTGTTCTACTCTTTTTGTTTACTTCTTCTAGTAATTCTTGTCACAGCTGTTTGCGTTGCGTTTATTAAGTGTCATAATTACAGTGATACTCAAACTGTTCGCTACATTTATTTAAAGCTATTTACTTCAGCTCCTTAAATGTTATAATTTATTTTGTTTGTCTTTTATTAACGAGCGTATTACATAAATCTTTTAATATGAAGTGTGATCTTGATACTTGCCAAATTAAAAGCGATTCTGAACGCTACTTATCGTGTTGGCTGTGTGATGGTATTTACCATCTGAAATGTGCTGGTTTGACGGGAAGAATTCTGGACGCTATTAATGATGGCAAGGCCCTTCGCTGGTCTTGCGTAAAGTGCAGGTCAACCGAAGTTGATCTTTTCAAGCTATTTAGGCAAACCAGAAATGGTTTTACAGAAATAGGAAGAGAATTGTCGGTACTGACAGAAAAATTTAAGCATTATGAAAATATGTTTTAATCATTCAAATGCTTAGATACCTTGCAATCTGTTAAGGCTATCCGTGTGTCTAAGCGTAAGCGTCTTCATAGTCCATCTAAGGAAATTGCTGCCGTTGCACGTCAGAATAATCTTCCGACGGACTTAATTAATTTATCCTCTCCGTGTCCTCCAGCATCAGAATCCTCAGCCTCAAAAGACCGTGTAACGAAATCTGCTTCGGATAATAAAGAGCCTGAAGTATCTTCCCCTTCCCCCATTGAAGTGGTGGCATCATCTTCAAAGCCTCCACCGCCTTCCCTATCCTCAACTACTAACGCAAAAACTCAACCCCCTCCACCGGTAGTCCAGTCTGATACGAGGAAACTAGTTGTGGTTCCGCCAAAGAAGTCAATCTTTGTTTCTAGATTTTCGAGAGACACTACCGAAGACGATATAAAGCTTTACATCTCATCAAAAATTACAACTGTCGACTTAAGCATCAGAAAATTTAATTTTAATTACGAAAGAAATATTGCTTCATTTAAAATTGACGTAAATTTAGATAATTTTAATGCGCTGCTTAGTAGTTCTTTTTGGCCCCCCGGAGCTTTCGTTCGTGAATTCGAATATAGGCCCAAAAAAGTAAATAACTTGGCTAATATTCCCCGTCATAACACTGAATCAAAAAACTAATTATTAAATCTGCTTTAAGTATTTATTACCAAAATGTAAGAGGCTTAAATACTAAATTAACGAACTTATACTGTAAAGGCCTTGAATGTAATTATAATATTCTTTCTTTTACTGAAACTTGGCTGAAACCTCACATTTTCAATTCAGAGATTCCTCCAAATAATTATCATATATATAGACAGGTCAGGGAGGACAAAATCGGCGGTGGCGTACTCTTCGCTGTAGACTCTTCAATACTATCTGAAGAAGTTAGTCTTCGTGCGTGCAACAACGTATTTTTAGAGGGGATGGCTGAACTCTGCCTAACTCAGGTTAATGTACTTCACAATAAGTTTGGTAAAGTATTAGATCTTGTTTATGTTGATGATGCATCTAAGTCCGTTGTAAATAAGTGTGATCTATTAGTTTTGCCCGAAGATGTCTACCACCCTGCTATGGAGGTATCTTACGAAGTTATAAGTGATGGTCAAAATTGCAGTACCCAAGCATACGAACCAAATATTCGCTTTGATTATTCGAAAGCCAACTTTAAAATGCTTAACAAAGAACTGTCTAGATTGTCGCGGCCTGCATTTAAAGAAAATATTGAACAAAGCGTTGCACTTTTTAACTTTACTTTACATAAATTATTTGAAAAGCATGTGCCTAAACGTATGTATGTTCCTGAAGAGCAAACACAGTTATGGTTCACTAAAGAACTGAGAAATTTGAAAAACAGAAAGACGCGTTATTTTAGATTACACAAAAAAACCGGTTTACACTCATACTAAGTAAAATACTCACTTTTGCGTCATAAGTTTTTTGAATTAAACAAAAATAGTTATAAAGCTTACTTGTGTAAAATCAAACGGCGTATAATATATAACCCCAAATCATTTTATGACTTCGTAAACTCCAAGCGAAATGTACGTGGCTTTCCTTCCGCCATGAAGTATCAAAATACCGTCTCTAGTGATAATCAAACAATTTCTAACATGCTCGCTGAGTTTTTTAAATCCAATTATTCCATTAACTCACATGCTAACATTAACTATCCTTTTAAACTATGTCCAATGAATTCAATAAATATCCCAGTAATATCTCCCGATGATATAGTGGTTTATCTGAAATCCTTAAAGAGGTCCTTCAGTTATGGTCCTGACCAGATCCCTACTTGTATTCTTATAAATTGTTCTGATTATCTCTATGAGCCGTTAACAGCGTTATTTAATTTATCTCTTAAAGAGGGCGTTTTTCCAACTATATGGAAGGAATCGTTCATAACCCCGTTACATAAAAGCGGTAGCAGATCTCCAGTGGAGAACTACCGGGGAATAGTTAAGCTTTCTGCAATTCCTAAATTATTTGACGCAATTATAACTAATCAGTTGACGCATTCTATCTCTTCTAGCATTTCATATAGTCAACACGGATTTTGCAAATCAACTTCTACAAATTTACTCGAATTAACATCTTATATCTCAAAAGCATTTAGTGAAAGCAAAGCTGTTGATGTTATATATACTGACTTCAGTAAAGCATTTGACATAATGTGCCAGTCGTTGCTCATCTACAAACTTGATCTTCTTGGTCTTCCACCTAATTTTCTACGTTGGATCTGTTCATACCTCTATGATAGATCACAAAGGGTAATGTTTAAAAATACTATCTCTGACGTCATTGATGTTACTTCAGGAGTTCCTCAAGGTAGCCACCTAGGCCCGGTTCTGTTCTTGCCTTTTATAAACGATATTTCTACAGATATACAAATTTCCAAAATTTTGATGTATGCAGATGGTGTAAAGCTTTATAAATCGTACGTTTCAATTAAAGAAAGGTGTTTGCTACAATCAGACTTAGACAGCATGGCTTACTGGTGTCAAGTAAATCTTATGCCTCAAAATCTTAAGAAATGTAAAGTAATGAGCTTCTCGCGAAGAGCTGTTCATCCCACTTCTTATACAATAGGTAACTATAACCTGGAACAGGTATTCAATTTTGTGGACCTTGGTATCACAATGGATCCTAAGCTTAATTTTAATCTTCAAATTAATGTGACAGTCAACAAGGCTAAAGGTGTACTTGCATTTGTGAAATGATGGTCAAAAGAATTTTGTGACCCTTATATCACTAAAACCCTGTTTACAACATTAGTTAGGCCAATTCTGGTATACATTCGGTGGTTTGGAATCCAAGGTGTCAAATTTACTCAGACAATATAGAATCAATTCAAAAACAATTCCTACTTTTTGCTTTAAGAAATTTCCGTTGGGATTATCAATATAACCTTCCACCTTATACGAGCCGATTAAAACTTATTAATCTTCCTACACTTTCCAGCCGCAGGCAAATGCTTGGCACAATTTTTATAGTTAAATTACTAACAGGCTCAATTTCAAGTCCGCTTCTTCTTGGCGAAGTTAGCCTTAATGTTCCCTCCCGGGTATCAAGACACTTTTGCCCCCTATTTCTGAAAGCTTGTAAAACTAATTTTGAATTGCACCACCCACTCCGTTGCTTATGCCAGGATTTTAACTCTCATTCCAGCACGTTTGATATATCAGATCCGCTTTTCAGCATTAAGAAATCGATACTGTCCTCTCTCAATAAATGAATCATTAAAATAAAGACATAAAATCGGCTGGTGAATTTAGTTCTGTAGCTGAACAGTTTTAGATCTGGACACTTAACAAACTCCTGCCTATCGTGACTCGGCGCAAAAATTGAAAATACTGGTTCCGTACGTCATGCGGACTGCGCCCCTCGTGCGGATGGGCGGGAATGGAGGGTAAAAAGCGTTGGGATATTATTATTATTATTATTATTATTATTATTATTATTATTATTATTATTATTATTATTATTATTATTATTATTATTATAAGTGCAATTTACAAAAATTGACTTTGATTTTTTTTAATTTTTCCAAATGCTCTTGTGCTTATTCTTCCACAAGAGTGCAAAAACAGTGCATCCATGCTACTACATACCGAAAACTTTTCTGAACATTTAGGTCAAAAAGTTCAAATTTTTTTTAAATTTTTCTAGATTTGTATTGCGTTTGGTTTATATGGTTTTGGTAAAAGCATGAACAACACTTACTACCTCGAGAAGCAGTGTAAATATTAAGAAAAAAACAACATGTGCTCAGTTATGCTCCCCAGTAGGCACAATAAAATATCTGCTTACAATTAAGAATGAAGTTTTGTTTATCTCCATTTACCATTATAGCCGCACAAGTTACATATAGAAGTATAAAATTTTTAAGAAAATAGGATCTTAAAGAAGCTATTCCACCTTTAGGACTTCGCATAGAATTTCGGGAAAAGCTTAGCGGATGGAAAAAGCAAGAGGTATGGTATTCCAGCCTAATATCCACACCCATTTTTAAAATGTATTTCATTTTAATAGTTTGGCATTGACGATGACATAATTTCCGCTGATTCCAATGTTATAAATTGGCTTAATCGTCCAACGACTTCTAATACTTCAAGTAGCAAATCTCCTGTTTGCCGAACATACATAAACGAGGTAAAAATTCGAAGTGTTATTGTGAGCATTTTTGAAGTTCACAACAGCATGGCACCTTTTTTTAGCCGAAGTTATTTCCGTATTTATATACAGCATTTGATTTTCTACAGGATTTTTTACCCTGTTATCAAACACCGCACGTGGAACAAAAATTTTGAACTTCTACAAAGAAAACAACAGACTTGACAACATCAACATGGACGAAATAATAGCTATTTTAATCGAAGAAATATGTTACGGAAACATTTCTCCTAAACCAAGTGATTTTCATTCGCTGGTAAACGAAATTTGCTCCGTTTTTCCTAGTGAAGTAGATACAAAGGTGATTTCATGTTATATAAGAATATCAAATAAATTAGGGCACGGTTATAAGCAACATAAAGTTAAGTTTAAAATTAGAAGGTAACAAATGTCAAAAAGATTAATTTTAAATTTAGCTTTATTGTGATTATAAGCATGGGCCATTACTTCTTGATAAAACAAATATTAAAATTTTCAGGAATATTACTATATTCCCCGAACTGGAAAAAAAAATCCGAGTGGAAAACTATTCTATAAATACGTGAACTGCCGCAAGGGCAAAAAAGGTCGCATAATATGCCTCACAATGAAGAAAACAATATGCAGCAATGTACTGAAGAACTCGACAATTCCATTATCAGCGCTTTAAAGTTGTAGCTCAGCAAGGAGAGCGCAGATTGGAAAGAAATTTTGGATAATTGGGCTAAAACTTTTTCAGCCAGGCAAAAAGACTTGAAGAACTTGGCAAGTTTCGACTTGTTAAAAGCCTGGCCGAAATTGGCCGATGCACGGGCACCTGAGCTGGTAAATAAATAAGCATATTGTATTTTAATGTAAGTTCTATTTGTTTTAAAAATTTCACTTTCTTTAGATTAAAATTGACTTCGATCTTTTGTACCCATTGAAGCAAGATTCTTTGCACTCTA